TGATGTTCCAGGGGACTCACATCGACCCACAGTGACGGACGCATGGTCACTATGCTGCCTACACCCTGTACGACCGATGATCAGCATGCTGGTTTGTCGGTCCGACGCCTGGGTCCGCGCTCCGTCGCGTCCGACGGCGACTCATGATCTTACACCCATCCGTTGCTCTCGTACAACGAGTATAAACAGCCCCTTCACGACTTCGCAGAAGTCTCAAAAGGGTTCGGGGGCTCCTGTCTGGTTCATAAACCTAAGGTCCCTGATGGGCCCGCTTCCCAGCAACAGCTCGGCCCAGCAGACGACATTACAACAACGCGCAACTCCTGGGCCGGCCTAGATACCTAACGACAGGCCGGAAGAGCGATCCAGTCTTCGACCGAAAGGCTTGGCCAAGGAGGGGACAACACTCGCTTCCGACTCCGACCCACTTTTCCGACCGGGAATACGTCGAACCTTTGCTTACACCTCTTCTCCGACCGACGCGGTCGGAGCCGACTGGGAACGACCGACCGGGGATGCCCGCTCGGTGAGGACCCAAGAATCAGGCAGAGTAGATAAGAAAAGACGTTCAAGTCAACCGCAATACTGAGGACCGTACCCTGCACACCTGTAGGACAATATCGCCAGGCCATACCAGAAGGGTGCTTTGCAACTTTTCAGGCATGTCAGAACCCGAACAGTGTTGTGGGCGCCGGTATTTGCCTTACAGTGTTGTGGGCGCCGTCATTTGTCATACCAGGCGAACACGGTAAAGCCTGCCACACGCGTCTGACATAAACGGTATTGTGGACGCCGACGACCATCATGTACCCGACAGCGTGGGCAACAAGACTTAGTAAAACACGAGCACACACTCTCTCTCTCTTACTTGTAAAGCCATCCCCTTCACCTATAAAAGGGGATGCACACTCTCCCAAAGGAGGACGGTCATTCCAACTCTCTCTCTGCTAAGCTTTAGATATTCTGAGCATTCGAACAGCTCCACGGCTTTAGAACTCTAAAGCTACACAGAGCATACGTTCTAATACTTAGCGCACGTAGGAGCTCCCGTCACTCTTGGCCCTTCGGTCCAAAGCCTGACCGGACCTTTAACACCCCCTTCTTATTCCCACTCGTTTGTAACCCCACAGCAAACTTCGAGCACCTGGGCTCAGGAATAAAGTCACCGACCGACTTGAACTGGACGTAGGGCACGTTGCCTGAACCAGTATAAACCCTGTGTCATTGAGTGCTAGGCCACATCCGATCACAACGTACGGCAAAACTACAAATATTTACTTGTTGGTCACTTTTCGTACCGACAAAACCATGCATTGCTGCACGCATGTGAGGCTTCAGTGAGATGTAATTCATAGCCAGTAGCACTAGAACTCTAGGAGCAGCAAGCAGCATCCTCGTACCGAGGCGAAACCTTTTTAGTAGCCATTTCCTGCATTAGGGATCCTGTTGTCCTGACAGGAACTATACCATGACTTAGACATTAGGAATATGATGACAGCAATAGGACTTTTGTACACCTCTTGCACAAAGATAAACTTTTTTTTTATTTCTGTCGGTCAAACTAACATATAAAGATGTTTGCTATAAGTGATCATTCATCATCGAAGATTTTAGTCATAGTAACTATATACTATTGACCAAAGTGACTGTCATCCTATTTCAGTGCACTTCTGTGGTGACATTTCTTTCCTGTCTGTGTTCTTTTGCTTAACAGCAATTGATGATGCAACTCTGATAAAAGTGCAGGTCATGTATTATCAAGAGCTGGAAATAATGTACAGGTATTCTCCCTAAATGAGATGAAGACTGCCACACGAAACTTTCACATGTTGAATTGCATTGGCCGCGGGGGGTTCGGAGCAGTGTATAAGGTGATGCCCAGGACTTGTTTATGCATTTTTGTTTAACATTCGTGCTTTATTTTCTGCTTCTACTCTAAATGCATGTTTCGAGGAACTTTGCAAATACTGTAGTCAATGACTAACAAAGGCTGTTCCTCACTTAGGGAAACCTGAAAGATGGCACTCAAATTGCAATTAAAAAGCTTGCAGCTGAGTCAAAACAAGGAATTAGCGAATTCTTGACAGAGATTAATGTCATATCAAACGTTAGGCACCCAAACCTTGTCAAGCTGATTGGTTGCTGCGCTGAAGGGAGTAACAGACTATTGGTGTATGAGTACGCCGAGAATAATAGTTTGGCGAATGCTTTGCTTGGTAAGTTCAATATTGAAGTTGTACTTTCTAAGTTGGTCAATCCAAATGTATGAAGTTTACCTTTGTGAATTATGGCCAGGACCAAAGAATAAATGTATCCCATTGGACTGGCAGAAAAGAGCTGCTATATGTATCGGAACTGCTTCTGGCCTTGCTTTTCTTCATGAGGAAGCACAACCACGCATTGTCCACCGTGATATCAAGGCTAGCAACATTTTACTTGATAAAAAACTGCTGCCGAAAATTGGAGATTTTGGATTGGCCAAGCTTTTTCCTGATACTGTCACTCACATTAGCACGCGTGTTGCAGGAACAATGTTAGTGCATCTCTGGATCTTTTTATGTATCTTCCTTGCAAAAAGAAAAGATTTTCCTGTATTTACTTGCTTATACAATGAAGTTATGTGTATTTCATGTCACTTCTTTTCATTGTGCTATTCTGATTTTACCAAGTGTACCGATTTTGTTATTTTTGCAGCCAGTTTACCAGTGCGCTGATCGACTAATTGTAGTTTGCATGGTCTGCTATAACATAATCGCATTGAACTCTCAATATATAATTTTTTTGCAGGGGTTATTTGGCACCAGAGTATGCTTTGTTGGGACAATTAACCAAGAAAGCAGACATATATAGTTTTGGGGTGCTTCTTCTTGAAGTGATAAGTGGTGAAAGCAGCAGCAAGTCGACTTGGGGGCCTAATATGCATGTTCTTGTGGAATGGGTAACTCATTTTTCCCTCTTTGTTTCCCATTAAGTATGGACCTGCAAGCCTTCTAGTATTTGCCATGATTACATCAGCTCTTGATGGACTGTAGAATCACACATGCACCTAATAAGTACTAACTTTTTCCATGACAGACTCACAGTACATGTTGACGATGGTGTTCTAACTTTACAAGTTTACATTCAAGATATAGCTACTTCGGAAAAATGACTGAACTTATTACATGGGTTAAACTGCAGACATGGAAGCTGCGGGAAGAAGGAAGACTCTTGGAAATTGTTGACCCAGAGCTGGAAAACTACCCAGAGGAGGAAATGCTTCGTTTCATCAAGGTGGCACTGCTGTGCACACAAGCCACGTCCCAGCAGAGGCCATCCATGAAGCAGGTTGTCAATATGCTATCTAACCAAACAGAAATTGATCTGCAAAATGTAGTTGCACCAGGTGTGCTGAAAGAACCTCGGCCGCGTACCGGTGGCTTTGGGGGTTTGACAGCAGACACGTCCTCAAGCCAAAGCACCAAAGCCAATCCAGCTGAATCATACAGTACACAGACCAACATGAGCAGCTGTCAATTTAGCACAACTGACGTATCACCAAGGTGACGTGATAGACTATCAGCTTGCAAGCTTGTTTGACGTCTGCACAGGTGTCTCGCACCTCCCACAAGGTTTACTGTGCTGAGCCCTGACAAATTCTCTTGATATGGAAGGCCTGATCCATTTTCATCCTGTTTTAGAGCTACATAGGATGCGAAGGCCGCTGTGAATTGCTGATGTACAGGAATTGTAGCTCGTCTTCTTTTTTTCTTTGCAAAGGAGGAATTGTAGTTCAATTTGACAATTGCTTTTATGTTCTTTATTAAAGCCTGTTGTAGGGACACATTGCAAGAGTACAACACTAGTGTATTCGAAAATTCAAAAATCGTGCTCGGATTATGAGCAAGAAAGTTGTGAAGAACAGCTACTATGCACAATAGGTTAATGTTCCATACATTTTTTAGACTATAGGCTTAAAAGTACGATCATAGTTTATCTTCATTCATCTCTCTGAACACGATCGCCTCCTGCATAATAGTTCTAACAGTATTAATGTTTTCCTTCATGCTTTTAACGACCCGTGATGCTCTTCGTTAGCCATACTGTCTGCAGCAGTCCTTTCCTAAAAATAAAAAAACAATGAATGCCGCTGTCATTGATGCTCTCTTTAATTTATGGAAGGAATTGAAGAAAACTTCAAAATTCGTCTCTAAGTCCGCTTGATGTCTGCTCATGTTAGTCCCTTAATCGCCTTTTTGTCATGGTGTTCCCCTCACGAGGCCTGCTTCTGTCGATGAAAACTCCTCTAACTTTAATCTATAGCAGAGTTCACACCTTTCGGCTTGCTAAAACTTGACTGAAATTGACTGAAAAATACTATTTTGGTTGAAATGCTGTGAGAGAAAAACATTGTTCCAGCTGAAGAAAAAAAAAAGCCGAACAAATCAGATTTAAGGTAAGCCGGGCCTTTGTTTAGAAAAAAATAGTCTTTCCTGGACACCGAGGGTATACAAGGACAGTTATGTTAGGCATTAAGTTGTATATATATTGGACACATTTAGTAATAAATACGTTTGGCAGGTTATAGTATTCAACATTTTTTTACAACATACTGTTCAACATTGAGTTGCAATTGCACATGCTTGTTTCTGGCAACAATACTAGTAATACAATGAATGTAATACTTAAAATTAAAGATGTGGGAGGAGGAATATGCCACTAGCATATAACTATGTAATATGTGCAACAAAGAGGGCCACAGGAGTTATATTAAGAGTCTATACTACTCTACTAAGCCTACCTTATCTGACAAGACACTTGCATACTTCTAAGGTAAGGGAGGAAATCTGCTTCGTACTGAACAGACGACATTCAAAGGCCATAACCTCAATTCCCATATTTATTCAATTCCTTAGAGAACATAGCCTTATTGCTCTTTTCCACCCACTAATGACATCTTTCTTAACGGAAAGTGGGTAAAGAAACATGAACAAGAACTAACAAGCAATTCTCATAGCACACTATTCTTTGTCTACAAAAGCTGACTCTGCAAGATCGATGGCCCGAGCTAGTGCTGCAGCCTTATTCTCGCATTCACGTTGTTCATCATCTGGGCTACTGTCGGCAACAATGCCTGCACCAGCCTGGAGATGAGCAACCCACTCCCGGCGCCTATCTGCATCTTTGTATGAGTACATCGTGTTGTGGCTTGGCGCTGTTGAGAATACCATGGTGCGCAGAGAAAGTGCAATTTGCATATCGCCATCAAACGATATTCCTCCTAGACCACCACTATATGGTCCTCGCCTTGTAACTTCCAACTTATCTATCAACTCCATGGCTTTTACCTGGTCACATAAATAGATTTTCTTTAAGCAACAATTATTTGAAAGAGAAATGAACTCTTTAAACAACAATTATTAGAAAGAGGATAATGAACTTTTTAAAAAAAGAAGCCGTAGAATTGCGATGGTTTTAGAATAGCTAAAAAGATGCCAACCGCTAAACCGAGCAACATAGCCAGATAGATCTACCAAACGTCACTGCTTTGCAATTAGAGCAGATAGATTAAGAACCTAGATCAGACACATCATCAACAACAACAACAACATAGCCTTTCAGTCCCAAGCAAGTTGGGGTAGGCTGATGACATGCCAAATTATAATAAAATTGCTCAAACCGCTGATGACATGTTAAGCCGACATTGTCTGAATTAAGTTTAAACATATATCAAGAGGCAGAAAATTTGGCAGACATGTCACACAAAAATATATATGAGTTGTATAGCAAATTATTATACAAATAAGAATATTGGAAGGGAAAGTTCACCTTTGGAGCACCACTGACTGTTCCAACAGGCAATGCAGCTCTCAGGGCATCCCAGCTCTGGAGATGATCATCCAACTGTCCACTGACCTGCAAGCATTCAACTAGATGTTATATTTTTTTTTTTTTTTTGCATTACATTACAATATTTTCCAAAGCCTATCTTTCACCATGTACACTAATAACCAAAATCTCTTATGCATGTTAAATACGATGGGAGACAAACAAAAAGGTGACAAAAGTGCACAATCAGAAGGTCCGCTCATACAATAAGCCAAACAAGATAATTAGAAACAACATTGCATGTAGCTTGGTGAGTTGTATGACATTTTTTTTTGTATTTTCAAGCTAAAACCCAATTGTAGGCTATTCCTGAATGCCAAATAAAGAGTATTGCTCAAGAATCATAAAAAATTAATGTTTTATTGTATATTTGAGCTAAACCCTTAATCTAATTAAATATTATTGCCACACGAAACATGCTAAATCAAGTTCAATGAAGGTGATTATTTGTAATTATCAAGCATGTATAAATTTCCAAAGCATAAAATTTGATATATTATAAGAACTTTATTACATAACATAAGAACAGCCTAACCGTTGAGCTGATGTGCATAACATGGGAGTATCGCTCAATGTTCATCAACTTCTCCACCTTTACTGATCCAGGTTTGGAGACCTATTAAGCCATAGTCATCAGAAAAGCATCCAATACGATCACTATTTAAGAGCAACAAAGCAGTAAACATTCATTTTCATAACTTCTAAAGAATGGATAGAATTGCATACTAGCCATTCTTATGGCATCGCTATTATGTCAGAATGTGAGTTAACAACAGAAAATAATTCAAAAGAAACAAAAACAAAATAGCGTTGTCATTATGTCAGAATGCAATGTAGTAGATATTATGGGCTTCTTGTAATAACAAGGCAAAAGAAATACATACCTTGCCAACATCATTCCTTCCTAAGTCTACAAGCATTATGTGCTCGGCACACTGTTTTTCATCACTTAATAGTTGTTGCTCTTGCATTTGATCTTCCTTCTCTGTTTTGCCCCTTCGAACAGTTCCAGCAAGTGGTCGATTAATAATTTTCCCCTGAAAATTTTAAAAGATGTGCATATTAGCGAGAGGACAATTTTGAAATCTAATGAATAGCCATAAAAGGTCCAAAATTCATATACCTTACTGACTCGTGTAAGAATTTCAGGACTAGATGCAACCAACACACATCCTCTTGCCTAAATAGACAGTCAAAGGGTGTTGATTAGAACCTCAAAGGCAAATTGGTGCACATAACAATGTTCAAATAGGTCGTACTTCATGCTTCTATGTATACCTGTACATACGCCATGTATGGGCTAGGGTTCACAATTCGCAAGGCTCGATAAACCTCGAATGGGTTGGCATATGTTCGTCTCTCAAACCTCTGGCTTAAAACAATCTGGAAGATATCCCCAGCCATAATATGTTCCTTAGCCTGCATTACAGCATTCTTATACTCATCACTTGTCATGGTTGACTTGTTCAAAGGTGCACCAAACTGGCGAGTGTGCAGCTTCACAAATCCAGGAGAGAGTGTGGGGCTGAAATCCAAAGCAAATAGATCTATGAGTATCAAACTAAATAAGTAGCAGGATAGAATTAATATGGGCAGCGTAGCTTACACATTGGAATTGTGCACTTTAGATAGCAACAGGTTCAGACGGGACCTGCCATCTTGGTATGCTTCCTCAACAGATGCATGCCGGTCCACATTGACCCAATGGATAACATATACTTTCTAATAAAACAAGAAAAGAGCCATGTCATTTGAAATGAACACATATTTTCCACAAATTGTCTCCAAGGGATAAATACCAGAAGTCAAATACAGTTATGGGAAACGTTATTTTGCCTCATAAGATGCAGATTACTTAAATGCATCGACACTGAGTGGTGTAGTTTCTGCCTGTTGTTGATGTGAACAAAATATAAGATGCAACAATGACAAACTACATGCATAATCTTTAGTATTAGACTATTAGTATAGTTAACTTTCTAAATTATTAAACTAGTTATCTTATTCTGCTTTCAAAAATTGGTGCTCCAACATGAAGTGATAACTAAATGGAAACTAATACTTAATCCTAACTGGAACTGTGGGACAATACCCTCTCTGAAACACTGAGACTATCATAAGTTAGTTACGAATGAGACGAGAAAACAGGAATTCTGGAATAAGTACCTTCTCAACATTGTCGAAGACTAGAACATCATCATAGAGTCCCAAGTGCACATCAGGAAGGTTCCTATCGTCCTGAGGAGCACCAGAGAACGGTAGCTTCTTCTTCTCAACATACCGAACCGTATCATAGGAAAAGAACCCAACCCATCCACCTATCACAAACAAAATAACAAATGTGATGATTCACATAACATCATCGGCGACACCAAATCTTCTCTCTGTCTCAGCAATGAGGGCTGCTCACCAGAGAAGGATTCAGGGAGCTCGTCGATCTGCTGTGGGTGCCATCCCTCCATCATGCTCCTGGGGACCTGCATCGGGTCGTCCACTACCTGCTCCGTCACTTGGCCCTTCTCGTGGTCCATGATCGTAACCTTGTGCTCTTTGGCCACTATCTCCATCACCGGGTGGGCTCCCACCATGCTGTAGCGGCCCTGCAATACAATCCCCAATCAGTCCCGCATTCTTAACTTGGATAAGAATCGATAAGGGAGCAGCAGATTTGACAGGGAACATGGGAGACGTACGACGTTGGTGGTGCCTTGGGGCCCCTGCTCGACGGACTCGAAGAGGAAGCTGGGGGCATCGACGTTGTCCTCGGGGACGAGGCAGCGGTAGGCGAGCACGGGGGTGAGATGGTCCGACACGATGCACTCCCACATGGGCACCAGGTTCCCCTTCCCGCTCCCCGGCGCCGCCGCCTCGAAGAACCGCCTCTTGTCCTCCTCCGCCGCCTTTGCCGCCACCGCGCTCCTGCTAACCACTGAGCTCGCCTGCGGCGTCACGGTAGAGCACTTCACCCCGATGGTTCCGCTCCTGCTGCTGCTTCTCCGCCTGGCTGATACCACCGTCCCCGCCCTAACCCGGGCCCCCGCCGCCGGGACGGCGGCGCGGGAGGGCGAGAACACGGAGGTGGCGGCTAGGGATTCCATTGCCGCTGGCTTCACGCTCCCCACCGTGCACCGTTTTTGATCTATAGTATATATCTCCCGATTTGGTTGGCGGTCGGCGTCGGAGTCGGAGAGAGCGAACGCTGGGGTGGTGCGCTTATATAAGCAGTTGCAATCTGATTCGGAAATTCAAAATTAACAGCTAGTAAGGTGGGGGATTCGGATCCTGGGATTCGCCAGCAGATTTCCAAGGAGAAAAACGATTTTTAATGGAAACGAGTGATGCAGGCTGTTGGCGAGGCTGGGGTTTTGGGTTGACCCTTTCTTCTCAGTGCCTTCTTCTGGTGGGGACTTGGGACAAGGCGAGGAAGAAGAAGCCACCGTCGCTTGCATCAGGGATGAAAAAAGATTTTTTTTATCGTATTCGACACCAAATTCGTTTAAAAGGGTGTAGATCTGTCCATATTGATATTCAATACTCAATACCGTATCTCTATCTGAATACTCAAATCGTATATTTATGATATCGATATCAAATCATATTATATCCGACATAGCTAACACTACCTATACTTAATCCAAATTCGACAAAAAATATAAAAATAAATATAATATCGATGATATTCATCCGTATCCGATCCGTTTTCATGGTAGATTGCTCATGGGTGACGAGGTTTGTTCATCGTTGCTACTGCACTACTGTACATGCACGGTACTTGCTCGGAAAACACGTGACTCGTCTATTAGCCATGCAAGTTGATTGAGCCCTTGTTTAGTCGGGTGAATTTGAATTTTGAGGCTATTGTAGCACGTTCGTTTTTATTTGGCAAATAGTATTCAAATATGGACTAATTATGCTTAAAACGTTCGTCTCGCAATTTCCTACAAAACTGTGCAATTAGTTTTTATTTTCGTCAACCTTTAATGCTCCATGCACGGACCGTAAATATTCGATGTGACAAATACTGTAGCAACTTTTTAGACTTCGACGTCCAACTAAACAAAGAGAAGCGAAAAATCCTAGGAAAACGAATGTGGGTCCCCCACCAGGCCACCAACCGGTGGTGCCGCAGCGCGAACGGCGATGGCCACAGGGAAAGATAGAAGTGACTCGTCTTGGCGTATGGCGTTGGCATCAAACTTTACTCCAAACGGCAGGGTCATTCCGGCGCTGGCCGCCGCCCTGTGCGCGTTGGTCATTTGGTCGTGACGCGGGAAGCTGCGCGGCAGCGTGCCGCGAGCGCGGAGCGCCCTTGGCACCACGGCGCGCATGAGGGTGTGGTTGGTAGGCGACAATTTTCGCCAGGCCGCATCAGCTGTCTGTGCTGCTGGTTTGTGATCTCCCCATGAGGAAAACGAGGAACAAGAGTGTATCGGGTCAGAGTGTCAGACCGTCAGAGTGGTAGCGGCGGCCGCGATCTACAGGCACCTGGATGGATAGGGCGGAACGGCGAGCGTGGCAGCGTGTGTTTCTGGTTCCGGAAAGGAGTTAGGGATCGACGAACATGTGTGTGCTCCGTTCCCTATTCGAAAGTCTTCGCGACAGTCGTACACGTACCAAAGACCATCGGCCAACAACTGTTGAGCCGATAACAACGGTCTGGAGACGCTACTGATTCGTCCAAGTAAAAACCATCGGGAATTCTGGACTGAACTCTCCTCGCATAGAGAAATCAGTTTTTGCTGTTTACTTCATTGGTCGTTTCAAAGAGAATAGAAAATTTTCAGCTTCAAACAACTTCCTCCGAGAATAAATCTAGTCAAAACTATTATTACAAATTTAGTAGACGTATTTGTGTGTTTTTCAATAATATATAGACTTTACTTAGCAGTCATCTGAATGACCTGTGGCTCGAAGATCTATGTAGCGATCACGATATCTATTCTACTACTCCATCCATCCTCAATTATAAGTCATTCCATGAATCTTGAAGAGTCAAAGCATCTTAAGTTTGACTAAATTTATATAATAAGATAATAATATTTATGATGCCAACTAAGTATCATTAGATTCTTCATTAATTATATTTTCATATTATACTTGTTTGATGTCATGAATCTTTATAGTTTTTCTATAACTTTGGTCAAACTTGAGATGCTTTGACTCTCTAAAATTTTTAGAATGACTTATAATTTAGAATGAAGTGAGTATGTCTTAAAATTGGACTCCATCTGTAGTTACAAGTTCTAGCTCGTATGAGCATACAGGTTGAGGTTGAGTCTCAGTCGTGGACCAGATAGAGAAGTGCACAAGGGCGTCATGCAAGTAAAATACGACGGTTTGAATAATATCTTTTTCACTTTAATATTAAATATAGATTAGGCATATTGACACTAAAAAATGGCTAGTAACCATGATATCATATCGACATGGTCTGCGATAATGATTGGAGTACCGGTGCATAAATAAAAGAAGACAAGCATAGCAGCATAACAAATGTGTGGCTAGGAATTTCAGAGCAGAGAAGGAATGACAACACGATAGCACAATACATGTGTGGCTAGGAATTAGCAAAGACAATAAACAAAGCTTGATCAAACAAAATTATGGCATGGACTATTACATAAAGTTCTAGCACTACCAATCTTGCACCATTGTGCCTGGATTTCCAAATTTGAACTGGCGCCATTGCCCCCCTGCAAAAAGGCTTCAGAAGGTTCACATGCTCCAAAATGACCCCAACTCCTTAGTGTAACAACCCAAAAATTCATACACCAAAAATATCAACTACAAAATTTTTCTCAAAACTCCCATGTGATGATGAGTGTCATGTATAGAAACCCAACCTAAGAGATGCATTAGGTCTAACCCCAACCTAAGTCAACACATAAGCATGGCATGTCATTAGTTAACTGTGTTTATTTAAATTCTAACAAATAAAGTATTGCATACATTGTTAATTCAAAATGTGATTTGGATTTCCACTTGAGTTATGTTATGCTTAACAACTCCAATAAAGTAATAAACCATAAAGTAATTAATACTCAAACCAAAGAATAAAGGTTTAAAGAGAAAAACTAACTCTATTTTTGTATAACAAAACCACACCTATTGTTATACAAAATAGCTAAATAAATTCCTAATATATATAAAAATGATATGGGCATCATATCTAAAAGGTACACCAATTTGGAATCCAAATTTCAAACCAGATTTGAATTCAAATCAAGGAAGAAGAAAAAGAAAACAGAAAAAAAGAAAAAGAAAAGAAGAAGAAGCCTCACAGCAGCCAGGCCTGCTCGGCTTCACGGCCCAGCCAGCCCAGGCAACCGAATTGGCCCAGCTCGCCCTCAGACCCCGCGCGCTCCCAGCGGCTGGCCCAGCTCGCCCTCACGGCCTCGCTGGCCTGCTAGCGCTCGCGGCCCACGCAGCCAGCCCGCGCGTCGCCCACGCCCGCGCGCCTCCCCGCTTCCCTTGCTGCCGCTGCCGCTGGACCCCACGCGTCAGCCTCACCCCCGGCACAGTGTCGTCTTCTCCACGCCCACGCCTCAACTGCCGCGCGACCGGAGGCCGACAACGCTGGCAGGAGCGGGCCAGGGGGTCACGCCCGGGGCATGGCCTTGCTCCCCCTTGCGCCGCGCTCACGCAACCTCACGCCATCGTTGGATGAGATGCACACGCCTCCGATCCCCCCCAATCTCCAGCCGCCGATCACCGAGCTCCATGGCTGAGCTCGGCTATAAAAGCCTCGGCCCCGGGAGCCCTAGCACGTTCCCATCGCCTCGCCACCACTTGGTGGCCATCCACTGCACACCCGAGCCAGAGAGAAGAGGGAGAAGAGGAAGAAGAAGGGGGAAAGCGCCGAAGCCGCTGCGGGGAGGGGGAAAAGCTCGCCCGAGCCAGAGCCGGAGCGGGCAACGCTACACGGCACTGCATCCGGAGCTACACGTCCACAACCCGCCACTGCACCGCTATCCATTCGACTCCAACACCAACGGTGAGCCCCCGGTTCTTCCCCTGCTCGCCGCCGGACCTTGCTATTTCGGCCATGGCGCTCCACACCGTGAGCGCATAGGCCAAGGCCATCTCCGGCCACTGGGTACACACGCACGGCACACTCACACGCACATCCGTGACCATGCCAAGACCACCCCACAGGCGCCCCGTAGCGCTCCCGCATGCCTCGCCGTCGCCACCATGCCTTCGTGGACGTCGAAGCCCCGCCTTGAGCCCCTACCGGCCACATGAGGACCCGAAGCCCCGCCTTGAGCCCCGGACGCCCTCGCCGTGCACCCACGGACCCGCAGAAGCCCCTATCCGCCCAGCCGAGCCACCGGGGAGCCTTCATGCATGACCTCGCCACCGGCGAGCACCGCCAAGCCGCCGACCGCCGTGGCCAAAGCCACCGGAGGCTCTAGAAGTCCCCTCGACCTGCCCGACGAGCCCGCTGGAGCACCGTGATGCTCACACGCACCACATGTCCGGCTTTTGCCGCTGTCACCGTGCCCTCCCTGTATGTCGTCATGCTCGAGCCGCCGACCACCGTGGCCAAGGCCCTAGAAAGCTTTGGCCGCCACTTTGACCCCACCGTCGCAGTCGCCATGGCGTGTGGGAGCTTTTTCCCTCCTCAATTGGACACCAGCGCCTACGGCAAGGCTCGCCGACGAGGCTCGCCGCCGGCGGGAACACGCCGGGGAGGAAGCAGGGGAAATTTCCCCTCGCCGGCCACACACGCATGAACCCGGTGCACGTGGACCATAGAGAGAAGAAAGGAAGGGTGGACGTGGTTCACCGGAAGGAGACGCGGTCCATGGACCAGCGCGTCTTGGTCCACCGTGAGCCACGCTCACGGCCACAGCCTAGAAACGAAGCCCAGTAGGAGCCCATGGCAGTGACATGGCAGCGCCACAGCATGCCACGTGGCGGGCCAAGCTCGGCCCAAAACCAGCACTGTCCAGGCCTAGTTTGAACCCGACCCGTATTGACCGTTGACTGGTCAACGTTGACCGTTGACCTGGCCCCACATGTCAGCGACACAGAGCCGCTGGACCCACATGTCAGATGGTGACGTCATGCTGATGTCACGCGGGGCCCACGCGTC